TATAAAAAACCCTAATCCAATTTCAAATGGTTTTTGTGTGAACCAAATATCGTGTGGTCCCATATATCTGGCAACAACCTACAATGTCTGTGTGTTAGTGTGCGAAACTAGAATTTTTTGGTATGGCCAACGAGAAGAATAAAAAACAAAATAGAATATCTGGTAATTGGATCAATGTACAATCATCACGGCAATCAACAGATTGTTACAATAAAAATAACAACATTGACATAAAGATGAAACTTTCAATAAAAGTTGTTAAATCGTTGTTGTTGTTCATTCGTTCGTTCGTTCACTCACTCAGTCGCTTGTTCACTTACCCAGCCACAGCTTCACTCACTCACTCGCTCATTCACTTACTCAATCAGTCATTCAATCAATTTGTGAGTTAGTTACATATTTTGTCAGTCGATTTGGCTATTGCCTGTATGAGTCAATAAATAGTTTGTTCTGCAATGGTGAGGATGGTAGTCAGGATGACGAAGATGCCGGGAATGATAACGACGATGATGATGATGACGTTGGAACAACATAAATCTGCAAAATCATATTATTCTCATTTGCCATCCTCGAATAGATTTTTTTTGGGGGAAGTGAATCGCTGACTTGTGCCATTCTCATCAGGATTTGTGCAAACTGTTGTTGTCCTTAACCTTTTGATTGGTTTTAGTGTCTGAACATCAAACACAAAAAAGGAAGGAGATGTAAACGGAACGAAAAAAATAAATACATTTGCAATTTAGATGAGTAGATTTCTGTTTATACATCTCGTTAAATATTTGATTTTCAAAGATAATAATCAATGATTTGCGGATTTTTGTTGTTGTGGTATATGAAATAAGCTTAGAAAAGCTTTTTATGACAAAACATTGTTGGTTTTAAGGATTTGTGAGATTTTGTAAATTTAGAATGAACAAAAGGTGATATTTTATAAAACATAACTTTATATTTAATAGATTTTTTTTAATTTTATTTATTATTTTGAGCGATTTTAAAGCACATGTATTACCACCGATTGCAGAGGTGAAAGATTTGTTTTGTGAGAAATAAGGAAGATTTAAAAATGTGAAGTTTTTTTTAAATATTTTCGATTTCACAAATAGCAATGAATTGGTTTGGAATTAGGTCAACTAGCAACGAACCTGCAATTTTGTTTTGCAAAAATTATCAACATTGGTCCGGGTAGCCCCGATATAATGGTAACACCCATTATTGGATGTTTTCGGCACGTTTTTAACCAAATTGGATGTAAAATTAAATTAAAATATTTCTACAAACACAATCAATATTCGTTTTTAGGGAATTCGCCATATAAGCTTCATCCCAAATTTTGGTATTTTGGAGAGCTTTTAGTGGAAGTGATGCAAATGTGGTATAGGTTGGTAATGTGGTATAGTCACTTTTTCTGTAAACTGAACATTTTAGAATAACTGAAACATGTTCTATAGTTTGCTGTTCTCAAAAAAATAAGATAGCAATGACCTGTTTAATTTATTTAAATCACGTTGAGAATCAGTACCAAAAATAAAATTTTTCATGAAATTGACTTTTTTTCGGTTGAAGTTTAAAAATAATTTTTTGTTTTACGGATGTACTTTAATCGTTATTACTAAAGCATTAAAATAATCAGTATGAACTAAAAATCAAATAATATGCGCGATTGCACCACATAATCACCAATTTGGAAAAAAAACTAGACATTTCTTCAGTAAACACAAGTGTAGGTAATGTGGTATACTTTGATTCTGCATGAAAAAAGGCCAGCACTAGACAAAATCTCATTACTATGTGAAGCATTTGTACTCTACGAGAGTCTACCATGAATCACAAGGATGAAAAACAAAGGCTATGAGTTTTAACAACTTCTCCATACAAAAATTAAATATTGCCATGTGTAGACATTATTATATAATAAAAATTAAAGTTGCACTCAACGTATCCGTTAAAAATCTTAACAGACATAAATCTCGAGCTAATTCGCATTCATTAAAAACAATAAATTATATAAGATATCAATTGGAAGTGAAAATTATACTATACCACATTAACATCATGTGGTATACCACATTACCTGCACTTTTTTTAAAATCACTTTTTATGGGATTTCAAATATTTTCTTAAATATCTCTTAAATTGTTAGAATAATATTATTTTCAAATTGATACATGGAAAGACAACACATGTAGCATTTTAAGTGTAAATTTTCAATTTAATCGGATAAAAAATAAAAATTTGGCAATCTAAAAACAAATGGGTATACCACATTTGCATCACCTCCTATATTAGTTACCATTTTACATTTTGAATTTTCAACGTGTAGAAAATCTACCTACCTTCCTTACTTTGAAGACCTTAGCCGCATTTTCCAATCGATGGGACTGTAATTTGGTATAAAAGGGTTCTGGAAGGTTGACTTATATAGAAATTTGTGCGGTGTTTTGATAGAGTTACAAGTTCCGCTTCTTTTTCAGTATTAATATATTTTCACCCTATTTTTCATAGGAGTAGCTATAATTTTCCGGTTGAATTAATGAATTTAAACCAGTAAGGAATGTAGTAAAGTCGGACGGGGCCGACTCTATATGATACCCTTCACCACTTGGGTATATTCAACATATGCATTCTAAAAGACGTCGCATTTTCGACATGAAATCGAATGAACTAATATATATATATATATATATATATGAGAGACAAAATTATTTAAATCGATTTAAAGCAAATCTCAATCAGACACTCGTTGATAGTTTGAAACCCAAAAAAATGTGAAGTCGGTCGAACATATAGGCTATGTCTGCATTTCTACAAAATCATTTACGTCATTCTATATTCAATTTTGTACGTTGTGCAAAATTTGGCGTCAATTTGAAAAAATGAGGCATAGAAGTTATATCTAAACCGATTTCAACGAAACTTGTTACAGGTTAGTTTATACTAATTTCAGCGTTATCTAAATTTGAACCAATAGCAACGAAATTTGTCACAGGTTAGGTAATACTAATTTCAGTTGTGTGCATATCGGCCATATTTCAGGTCCTTGGTGCATAACTTACATAAAATCGGAGAAAAATATCCAAATCTGAACCGATTTACACGAAACTTAATACACATCATATATAGACTTAATTCAGTACGCTATGCCAAATTTTGACCAAATCTAAAGATATACATTAAATCGGACAAAACTATATATGGGAGCTATATCTAAATCTGAACCAATGTTCACGAAACATAGCACACTTCATCGAATAATTTTCAGGGTATTTGGTGCAACACAATATATGGGAGCTATATGGAAATCTAACCGATTTTCCCAAAACTCACCACTCATCATTCTAGACTCAATTCAGTATGCTATACTAAATTTCGTGCAAATCGAAGGATATAAAGGGACTTTGGAGCTCTCAAAATCAACCATGTGTCTATCTCGTTTCCTTTTGCCTGTAACAAACATATGCACAAAGACTAATACCCTGTACCACATTGTGGCGAAGGGACGGACGGGCCGATCATATGATACCCTACACAACTACCATGGATATGTAACTTTCTGCGCATCCATACCCTGGGAAAGATTTGGCGATGTTTGCGCACCTTCTTGAGCGAATTGAGGTCAACAACTTACCTTTTTTACACTGAACATTTAAATCATACGATTAAAATTGTGTTATTTTACACACATATATCTTGGCTCATTTGGCTCAAAAGACCTGGTCCCCTTTCCCGTGTACAATTTGTCATGTCCTCTGGACAGACTAGAAAACCCTTTATATCATCTGATTCCATAGTAATCAGCGCTACATTTCAGCTCTCTAGTGTGGAATCGGAATCGGGAAATTTCAAGCGTGTTAGAAAGAGTACATGTCTCGCTCTCGTATGAATTATTGATTTATAGATTTCTCTCAAAAATTAAAAAAAAGCGGACCCTAAAAAGAAATTGGAAATTCGCCTACACAAACTAAGTTAAAAATAAGTAAGTTCTTCATCGATTGGCTTCATCCTAGTTCATACGATAGCTAACTCTCCCTGAGAAACGTGTCAAAATTCGGAACCGATTGGATTATTAGTTTTTGAGTTATCTTGACCGCCCTCGTAAAACGCTGCTTGGAGAAAAATGCGTTTATAGTTTGAGAAGCACTCTTGCCGCTACTTGATGCGGACACAATAAATAATAATTAGTGTAGATTCGAAAAACTATATAAAAAGTGCTGACACCCAGAATGGGAGGGGGTCCCCTAAAGATAACTGCCACATTCGAATATCATTAAAGTCGGTATCAATGTAAAAGTCAGCAACTCCTATCGTATATACTATCAACTCATTGGATCTGTAGGAGAAATAATAATAATCGATTTTTGACATTCATCCATTATAAAAAGTCGATTTCCTCTTTAAAATTTTCAATAAATTTAAAAAAATGTTAATATAAAATAAATTAAAATTGTATAACTCTACTATCTCATCATTATTATAATTTAGAAACGCGAGCACCGTACTAAATATGCTAACCCTAACATTTTAAATATTCTAATATAATTATTTTAATGAATTACAAATATAATACCAAATTTGATATATGCATAGGGCGTAAGGTCCACACAAGGAACAAATCTAATATGAAAATTATAAAAATATTATTTTAATCACTTCTCATTATATTTACCATTCATATGACTTGTGTGTGACAATGAAAGAAAATTACAAGGAAATACTGAACATTCTACTGAATTATTTATTAATGAATGTGTGTATGTATGACAAAACAAGAAAGACAAGAGATACCACCGAAAGACATAAAAGGATTACGAAAGTTATGTAAATAAAAATCCATAAAGATGATTGCTTTAATTAAATTCTGCGCCATTGTTCACTTTCACATTACATCCAGCAGTCACATCCTGTTGTTGTTGTTGGTGGTGGTGATGGTTGCAGGAATTAGCCGCAAAAGACGCTAACCAATAAAAGCATATTGTATGTTGTTCTTGTTGTCGCTCTTGCCATCACTGCTGTACGTCTGATGTCTCTGCAGATGTTGACGACGACGATGATGAGGGTGGTGGTGCTGCCGCTGCTGATGATGTTGATGTTGCTGAGGTTGCGGATACTGTGTCCTTTGATTCTTCTGCAGATGGTAACACAATCTCGTTCTCTTGCTCTTCTTTATCAATTTCCAATTTGGCGGCTGCCTTCAAAAGCCGCATGGTTTGTTGGTATAATTTTTTGGCCAATTCTTTGTCTTGCCCCAGTGGCGAGGAGACTGCAATTTCACAATCGCTGTGGAAAAAGTAAAAGAATGACAAAAGAAATTAACAAACAGACAAACAATGAAAGCCAAAGTCGACGAATAGAAGGCAAAACTCTAAATGGAATGATTAAATACAATAGAGAGGTTTAATAAAACTTTTACTCGTTGCTGAGCCAACATCGACTACGATGACGACGAACAAAAGCATCAGCATCAGTCCAAATGTGAAAATTATATTTGAATGAAGCTACTTGAATGGCCACTCAAGCAGTGGTGACTACCATAATCTGCTTTACGCCACTCCCCTCCTCCTTCAAGCTGAATAAGAAGAATGATGAAAATTAATAAATCAAACTTACTTGAAATATTCGCCTGTTACATGTTTCAATTTGGGATCTGTGGCCAAGCGAATGGCACATTGTGCACCCTGCCATGGATTCTTCATGAACATCCACATCCACGGATAAGTCATGACTCGAACACAAAAAGCCGACATAAGTGGTGAACTGAACCAACCATTCATTCATCCATCCAGCAATCCAAGCATTCACGTTCATTTCGTCATAGTTGGACCAGACGACCATCGTCGCAGTTGGTCGTCGTTGTAGTTGTTGTTGTGTTGTCGTTGTCGTCATCATCACCATCAGGAAGGAAGGAAGTGTCCAACCAGAAGAGCATACCCATAGCAATGCCAGGACCAGCAACAAACAACGGCAACATCAGTAACAGTACCAGTAATCGAAAAGAGATTGTGAAAAAAACAAACAGAAAGTACAACATGAACGTTTTTGGTATAGTTCAAGTGAGCAAGTGAAGTAAAGTTAGTTCATGATAAAGGAGGGGAGGGGAAATGGGATGAATCATCAGCGGAAACCGTAGCACATTTTTAGGTTAAATACGGAAATGCGGCATTTCTCAACGTGGTTAGCAATACAAATGTTAAAAATATGTGACTGCACTTGTAATCGTGATGTACAAGATTAGGCACGAGATTAATCACATACGATTTTTTCATTACTAAATGTTAATTATAATTCTCAAATTAAAATATATATTTAAAAAAAAATAATTAAAATCAGTAATGAAAGTAGTAAAGTCGGGCTGGGCCACCTATATGATACCCTTTAATCCATACACATGCGGTTCTGCAACCTATGGTCAATTTCATTCGGACAGATTTAGAGTCGTTTGTGTACAATAGGACAAACTTATGTAATATGATTTATAGCACACTTGATATACGCTATACGGTACTCTTCAGAACTTAATCCCAATCAGACACCCGTTCGAAATATATATGAATGCTATGTCAGCATCTGCACCAATTTCAAAACCAGTAAGGAAAGTAGTATAGTCGGACTGGGCCAACTATGGGATACCTTTCACCACTTTGGGTATATTCTAACATGGAATTAAAGGAACTTAAATGCGTGATCTTTATTTATAAGTGGACCAACTAACATAGATCCATGCCTTTCTGCAACCTATGCTAAATTTTATTTCATTCGAGCATATTTAAAGTCGTTTGTGTAGAATGGGTATCATATGGCCAATCCCGTTCGATTATACTGCTCCGCTCACTGGTACAAAAGTGTAGTGGCCTTTATATTGGCCTCTTTGGTCTTGAAAATTACATACATTCATCATTTAAATGCAGGTGTACTGAGATGTCTCCATGTACTGTAGTAAACTTGCGGGGTTCACGGTTCGTAGCAGACATTTTATTTATGTGCTTTATAAAACATTAATTGACTTTGTTACTCAAAAACGTATAGCTACGATTTAGTCGACCTTTTGATTCTTGGCCGGGATCAGTACTTTGGCGGAGAGGGTAATAGGATGCTTGGGATATAGAGTCCTGGATAAATACTCTACGCGGAAAATGTGAGAGAACAATTGGAATGTTATTGTTACGCAGAGCTTTTCTAAATATAGGTAGGATTCTACAGCAAGAAGCTTTAAGAAGTAATCATGCAATGATACGAAATAATGTTCCGACAAGAGACCGTAATAATTACTGAAACAAATATATTCTCTAGTATATTTGTAACTCACTCTCAATGAACTTCAAATTTCAAAACTGTGTGGCGTATACGTATTGACGACACGTATACGTACCTATGATTTTTCTTAGACAATGGCTTTTACTTTCCAAGATTATATGAAATAAATCTACTTTTTGGCTTTATCTCCCCTATATAGACTTACTGGCCCTTCAGCTTATCTTGGCAACATCTTTAGAAAATTTCAAAGCTCTATCTGAAATATAGGGAGTTCTGTCATGCTTTTAACAATCAAGTATAATACAGCGTGAACATATATTGAAACCCATCTTCAAGACTGCTTTACAATCTAAGAGAACCGCCACCTTTATGTATGAAAGCTTTGCATAAATGTTTCTCAATTCATAAGATCTTAAAATACGAAAATAAAGCCATTTTAGTTGGAAAATGCGTCAAAACCAAAGAAGAAAACGAAATTCCAAACTAACGACGCACAGATTATACTAGAAATGAACATCCGGAATTACTGTTAAAAAATATTTCTGAATTCCCCAAAATACCGAACACTGAGGTTACCGTTATATGGGGACTAAATCTAAACGAGGATCTAAAATTTTGGTGGTGAGATTTCACATACAATGAGAATCCAAAATATTAAATTAACACTAGAACGCCGAAGGCAGTCATTTTGACCGCTTTCCAATTTCAAGTACAAAGCAACTGTGCATTTAATGACACTTTTTTTAAATATGGTGACTTTTTGTACCTTATAGAATTACGTTTATTATAAAAAATTCACCAAATTTAAAAAAAAGTGTCATTAAATGCACAGTTGCTTTTATACTTGAAATTGGAAAAGCGGTCAAAATGACTGCCTTCGGCGTTCTAGTGTTAATTTAATATTTTGGATTCTCATTGTATGTGGAATCTCACCACCAAAATTGTAGATCCTCGTTTAGATTTAGTCTCCATATAACGGTAACCTCAGTGTTCGGTATTTTGGGGAATTCAGAAATATTTTTTAACAGTAATTCCGGATGTTCAGTTCTAGTATAATCTGTGCGTCGTTAGTTTGGAATTTCGTTTTCTTCTGAAAAATGCGACTAAACTCCACAAAATGCCATTTACGGGGATCTACTTTAGAAAGTTGGTCAAAATATTGACAATCTGCCTAACCAATTAGAAGCTATAATACACAATTACCGCCAATTTGGTTGAAAAACGTTTATAAATCCCAACCAGTGAGCGGAGCAGTATAGTCGGACGGGGCCGACCATATGATACCCTACACAACTTCCATGAACATCTAACTTTCTGTGGCACCATATTCTGAGCATGGGCAATATTTCGCGATGTTTGCACCCTCTTGATCTACTAGAGGTCAACAAATATTACTACTATTCAGTACACTCCTTCTAATTACGTGTCCAGATTCCCTTCAACGTGGGTTGTTTTGTAATGTTCGGCTTTCAATTGTGGACGACTCGAAAAAAATACGCTTTCGGTCGACTTCATCCCAATATTATTATATGATCATCACGGAAAAATTTCAAAGCGATGAGCGCTATATTTCCGCCCTCTAGTGTGGTAATGGGTTATTAAATAATATCTGAGTACGCAAGCACCTGTAAACATTTAAGTGTAACTCCCACATCCGAGTATATACGACTTCTCGGGTCTATGTACTTCGGGAATTATTATATACGTCATAGAATACATATTTAGTAATTTTTCACACAAAAGTCAGGGTCCATTTGGCCCGCTAAATATTTACCGATCTTTATCAAAACAGGCATGCTTATTCCTTGGCCCGATCCCCTTCTTCATTCGCGAGGTTTGAGCCATAACTGCGGCCTCTGGAACGACCAGAAAACCCGACAAAAATTTAATATTTGGTCCATTTCATCCCCTAAATTATAACCGGCCTTCATTGGGCAAAACCCACCCTACATGCAAAATTTCGTGGAGATTGGTCCATAACTGTGGCCTGTATCGCGTTTACAAATTATAATGGAGAGACGGACGGACGAGATATGACGATCGGTATACTTAAAGGTGGGTCTAGGACCAATATTTCGCGGCGTTACAAACTCTTGGGGCTGCACAAAGCTATAATACCCTGACAACATAGTTGTGTAGGGTATAAATATTTCTCCTAAACTCAGCCCATCCCCAAATTTAAAACCAGTAAGGAAAGTAGTAAAGTCGAACGGGGCCGACTTTATGATAACCTTTACCACTTTGGGTACATTCAAGAGGTGCATCCATACAGACGTGAACTAAAATATGTTATATATTTCTAAAAGTGGCCTGACTTAGATCAATCCATAAACATGTCAGCCTGCAGCCTGGTCACTGGTTAGGTTATACCAATTTCATTACGTTTTGTGCTTATCAGCCATATTTTAGGTCCTTGGAGCATCATTTACTTCAAATCGGACGAAACTTTATATGGCAGCTATATATAAATCTGAACCGATTTTTACAAAACTTTGCACACGTTAGACTACATAACTTCAGTACGTTGTGCAAATTTTTGTGTCAATCAGCTTAACTTTGCGAGTTTTGTGCACCATTTCTGCTTTATTCGTTGATCCAATACCAATAACAGTTGGACTAGTACACTTTTAGTACCAGTACTTTACTCGTTGATCCAATTCATTTAACAACTGGTGTAATACATTAAGTACAATTTTAGTACGAGTTACCCTTGTGTACTCGACTTACTCCAAATTTTAGATTTATATGGTCATACGTTTATATGGTCATACATGCAAAATTTCGTGGAGATTGGTCCATAACTGTGGCCTGTATCGCGTTTACAAATTATAATGGAGAGACGGACGGACGAGATATGACGATCGGTATACTTAAAGGTGGGTCTAGGACCAATATTTCGCGGCGTTACAAACTCTTGGGGCTGCACAAAGCTATAATACCCTGACAACATAGTTGTGTAGGGTATAAATATTTCTCCTAAACTCAGCCCATCCCCAAATTTAAAACCAGTAAGGAAAGTAGTAAAGTCGAACGGGGCCGACTTTATGATAACCTTTACCACTTTGGGTACATTCAAGAGGTGCATCCATACAGACGTGAACTAAAATATGTTATATATTTCTAAAAGTGACCTGACTTAGATCAATCCATAAACATGTCAGCCTGCAGCCTGGTCACTGGTTAGGTTATACCAATTTCATTACGTTTTGTGCTTATCAGCCATATTTTAGGTCCTTGGAGCATCATTTACTTCAAATCGGACGAAACTTTATATGGCAGCTATATATAAATCTGAACCGATTTTTACAAAACTTTGCACACGTTAGACTACATAACTTCAGTACGTTGTGCAAATTTTTGTGTCAATCAGCTTAACTTTGCGAGTTTTGTGCACCATTTCTGCTTTATTCGTTGATCCAATACCAATAACAGTTGGACTAGTACACTTTTAGTACCAGTACTTTACTCGTTGATCCAATTCATTTAACAACTGGTGTAATACA